CTATATCCACATGAAGCATCAGGCGGTCTTCAAAGCAAACTATGAAGCCGCCAAGCGCCAGGAAAGGCCTTTCATGGCCGCCGTGCACGGCCTGTTTGACTCCACACGCAGAAACTCCCCTCGCGCACCTGACGTGTAACTGCAGCTCTTGACTTCTCTTCTGAGATGCAGCAGCCTCCGTGCATGGAAAGGAATTTCGTAGCTCGGTCAATATTAAAGGTGAGCCGAAGATCGGCTTTCACTGTCTGTGCAGAACGAAGGAGTTCGTCCACCTCTTCATACAAAAGTAGGACTTCCCTTAGTGCCACGAAGAGCAAAAAAGACTGCCGCGCCTTTTGGCTTGCTTGGGCTGCTTCGTGGGGCAGGAAGCCTTCGTTCATTTGCAAGCCGTGTGGGTCTGCAAGGGGCAGCTGTCAGTCCTGCAGCTGTGGTGTTCAAAGTGATATCACCGACAAGCAGCATATCTCTTTCAATGCGTCCAATGCGTCAGGCCGAGGTCTCGCGCTACGAGCTGGAGCATGAAGAGTATCGCGCACAAAGCCAGCCAGGATGCATTCCGAGTGCTTTGGAGAGCGCCAACTTGGTGCACTGCGAATCCATGGAACTGCAAAATGACCCGAGATTCTTTCAGATCAACGTGCTGGACAAGCGTCTTTCCGCGGTGCAGTCACTGGCTGTTGTGTCATCCCTGATGACCACTGCCAGCTCACATGTGATCGTCATGAAGAAGGAGCTCAATTTTCAGACTCTCGAAGGATGCCTCCGCAGCGCTAGTTTCTTCATCCTGTGCTTTGTCTTGTTCCTGAACTTGATTGCAGGTTACGTGGGTGTGGCCCAAACCTACCACACGTACCGGTTGGAGACGGCAGGACCAACAGGCTTCGAGATTGCGGCAAGCTACTACTTGAACCCGAACATTGTAGCCTACAGACACCTGGCCGTCAAATGCCTGCTCAACGGACTGGCGTTGTTTCTTTTCTCCACCGGCATCCGGGTGGCAGTCAGTTTCGAGCTGGAAACTGACCAAAAAGTCCCGAGAATGGCGGAAACTACAGCGGACATTCTGTGCGTCGTCGTGCTAGCAGTGTTTACTTGTGCAGCTTTGACCTTGTCCTATATCCACATGAAGCATCAGGCGGTCTTCAAAGCAAACTATGAAGCCGCCAAGCGCCAGGAAAAGCCTTTCATGTCCGCCGTGCACGGCCTGTTTGACTCCACACGCAGAAACTCCCCTCGCGCACCTGACGTGTAACTGCAGCTCTTGACTTCTCTTCTGAGATGCGGCAGCCTCCGTGCATGCAAAAGAATTTCGTAGCTCGGTCAATATTCGAGGTGAGCCGAAGATCGGCTTTCACTGTCTGTGCAGAACGAAGGAGTTCGTCCACCTCTTCATACAAAAGTAGGACTTCCCTTAGTGCCACGAAGAGCAAAAAGACTGCCGCGCCTCTTGGCTTGCTTGGGCTGCTTCGTGGGGCAGGAAGCCTTCGTTCATTTGCAAGCCGTGTGGGTCTGCAAGGGGCAGCTGTCAGTCCTGCAGCTGTGGTGTTCAAAGTGATATCACCGACAAGCATATCTCTTTCAATGCGTCCAATGCGTCAGGCCGAGGTCTCGCGCTACGAGCTGGAGCATGAAGAGTATCGCGCACAAAGCCAGCCAGGATGCATTCCGAGTGCTTTGGAGAGCGCCAACTTGGTGCACTGCGAATCCATGGAACTGCAAAATGACCCGAGGTTCTTTCAGATCAACGTGCTGGACAAGCGTCTTTCCGCGGTGCAGTCACTGGCTGTTGTGTCATCCCTGATGACCACTGCCAGCTCACATGTGATCGTCATGAAGAAGGAGCTCAATTTTCAGACTCTCGAAGGATGCCTCCGCAGCGCTAGTTTCTTCATCCTGTGCTTTGTCTTGTTCCTGAACTTGATTGCAGTTTACGTGGGTGTGGCCCAAACCTACCACACGTACCGGTTGGAGACGGCAGGACCAACAGGCTTCGAGATTGCGGCAAGCTACTACTTGAACCCGAACATTGTAGCCTACAGACACCTGGCCGTCAAATGCCTGCTCAACGGACTGGCATTGTTTCTTTTCTCCACCGGCATCCGGGTGGCAGTCAGTTTCGAGCTGGAAGCTGACCAAAAAGTCCCGAGAATGGCGGAAACTACCGCGGACATTCTGTGCGTCGTCGTGCTAGCAGTGTTTACTTGTGCAGCTTTGACCTTGTCCTATATCCACATGAAGCATCAGGCGGTCTTCAAAGCAAACTATGAAGCCGCCAAGCGCCAGGAAAAGCCTTTCATGTCCGCCGTGCACGGCTTGTTTGACTCCACACGCAGAAACTCCCCTCGCGCACCTGACGTGTAACTGAAGCTCCTGACTTCTCTTCTGAGATGCGGCAGCCTCCGTGCATGCAAAAGAATTTCGTAGCTCGGTCAGCATTCGAGGTGAGCCGAAGATCGGCTTTCACTGTCTGTGCAGAACGAAGGAGTTCGTCCACCTCTTCATACACAAGTAGGAGATCCCTTATTACAACAAAGAGCAAAAAAAGACTGCCGCGCCGCTTGGCTTGCTTGGGCTGCTTCGTGGGGCAAGAAGCCTTCGTTCATTTGCAGGCCGTGTGGGTCTGCAAGGGGCAGCTCTCTGTCCTGCAGCTGTGGTGTTCAAAGTAGCATCAATGGCCATGGCAGCTCCCGGTGGAAAGGGGTATCTGCGAATGCGTCAGGCGGACGTGGAGAGCTTTGAGCTGCAGCATCAGGAGTTTCGCTCGCATAGCCAGCCAGGATGCATTCCAAGTCTTTTGGAGGGCGCCAACTTGGTGCACTGCGAATCCATGGACCTGCAAAACGACCCGAGATTCTTTCAGATCAACGTGCTGGACAAGCGGCTTTCGGCGGTGCAGTCACTGGCTGTTGTGTCATCCCTGATGACCACTGCCAGCTCGCATGTGATCAACATGAAGAAGGAGCTCAATTTTTCGAATCTCGAAGGATGCCTGCGCAGCGTTAGTTTCTTCATCCTGTGCTTTGTCTTGTTCCTGAACTTGATTGCAGTTTATGTGGGTGTGGCCCAAACCTACCACACGTACCGGTTGGAGACGGCAGGACCAACAGGCTTCGAGATTGCGGCAAGCTACTACTTGAACCCGAACATTGTAGCTTACAGACACCTGGCCGTCAAATGCCTGCTCAATGGACTGGCGTTGTTTCTTTTCTCCACCGGCATCCGGGTGGCCGTCAGTTTCGAGATGGAAACGGACCAAAAAGTCCCGAGAATGCAGGAAACTACCGCGCACATTCTGGGCGTCATCGTTCTAGCGGTGTTTACTTGTGCAGCTTTGACCTTGTCCTATATCCACTTGAAGCATCAGGCGGTCTTCAGAGCAAACTATGAAGCCGCCAAGCACGGGGAGAAGCCTTTCATGGCCACCGTGCACGGCCTTTTTGACTCCACACGCAGAAACTCCCATCGCGCACCTGACGTGTAGCTGCAGCTCTTGACTTCTCTCTTCTGAGTGAGGCAGCCTCCGTGCATGGAAAAGAATTTCGTAGCTCGGTCAATATTTGAGGTAAGCCGACGATGCGCGGATTCGCTAGTGCTGGCCAGCAGGACATTTCCAAGGCAAAGGTTGCTTTTGAAGCTCATGAAGATTGTACGGCAATGTGGGCAGAAGGACAGCCTGTGGCCAGTGCCATGAAGACGCTTTTGCTGCCTGCCCTGCCTGTTGGTTCGTGCATAAAGTAGGTTGCTATGCAGTGTAACACTAGTGCAAGCACTGTGCCCAGAGATGTGCGGTTTCTGAGTGTGGGCAGGGTGGCTTCTCTGCAAAGGCAGACGGCTTCAAAACTGTGTAAGATTACGCTGGCAAATGTACGGTGCATGATATGAGTGCCTCGGTCAGCGGCACGATGCAAAGTTAGTAGGAGTTTCTCCTGACAAACTCGTGCTTTGGAGCCTAAATGCCACAAAGAGCAGAAACACGATTGTCGAGTCGCGTGACTTGCTTGAGTTGCTGAAGCCTTTGCCCCATGTCGAGCATCACCTCCGCGGATTGTTTCCAGTCTTGCGATAACCTCGAGCGGTCGATGAGCCCTAGTCCTGATATGATAACGTTAGTAGGCCAGAATATTCTCATGCAGACGCTGGTGCAAAAGATGCTGCATTTTCTTGACAGCATCGGGGTCCGTATCTTTGGGGTTATGCCGGAATGTGTCGGATCTCAGCTCCAAGTTCCCGATGCATCTCGGAGACAATCATGGGCATTGTCTGTCTGGAATTGCGTTGTGGGCTATGACAGTTTGCCGTCAGCCTCGTGATGCCGCAGACAACACTCAACATCCTCCAGAACAGTGCGGAAGACCTGAAGATCTGACACTGGGAGTCACATGATGCGGATGACCTCTTGACACCTTGATCTATGCAATGTCGTCGCACCTTTGCATGTGTACTTTGGAAAGGCGAAAGGGGCTGTCAATGCCTCATGATTTGCGCTTCTGAAGGTTGTGGGCCTGTTTGTGCAGCAGAGCCACTTGTAAGTCGAAGTGTACCCATACCGATGAGCTACGGGCACTGTCCTGAACTGGATGACCGGCAATGACTGGCATGGGCGTGTAGCTGACTTTTGGGCTGGGCTTCTTGCGAGGACAAGGCCGGTTGGCAGTCCATGGCCTGTGTCAGGAAACCGGCCAACACTCATTGTGGAGACTACATGCCGCCCATGACTCAGTCCCTGACTCCGTTGAGCTCCATTTTGAATTTTACAGATGCCTGGCAATGCTGTGGCACTTTTCCTTAGGGTTTAGGGTTTAGGGTTTAGGGCACCGCCTTTTGCTCTGCACAAAGATGCTGCTCGGAGATCTCACGCAGACAGAAGGCGGCAAGCAAAACCGAGCTTGTGGGCCTCCAAACACGAGCATCGCAAGCATTGCTTTGGCCGAATTTGTGTAACTTGCGATGGTTTCCCTAAACCCTAGCCCCTAAACCCTATCCCCTAAACCCATTGTGAGGTTCCGGGCTTTTGCAGAGGCTCTCCGGGTGGCTGCCGCGGCCTCGTGATTTCCTTCGAGCGCATCTTTGCCAGGGCGAACTCTTCCAACACATTTTATCAATCACGTCATACTATTTCCTATGACATTACATTAGTTTCAAAAAAGTTCATACCATATGGCAAGGAAAACCTTGAACCCTAAACCCCTGTCTGCTTAGCCTCTGCTAGGGCTAACTGCTGCTTGTTGGGGCTGCGAGGCTAAAAGTCTCCTGATGATTTGAAGCTGGAGAGACCTGAGGTCCTCTGAAGGTCGTACTGAACTTATCGCGGTTTAGGGTTTAGGGTTTAGGGTTTAGGGTTTAGGGTTTAGGGTTTAGGGTTTAGGGTTTAGGGTTTTGTCGTGATGGTGACCTCACATCTAGTCCCTGCCCCCAATTGTTCTCCTTTGCGAGCCAAACCCTGCAAAAAGAAACCCTAAACCCCTAAAACCCTAAAACCCTAAACCCCAAAACCCCAAAACCCTAAAAAGCCCTAAGCCCCAAATCACCAAAACCCCAAAATCCTCCAAAACCCGAAACAATCCCTAAATTCCTAGACAACTCGGAGCCTGGACGAATTTAGGCCCGTGAGTTGCTGTGCGTGACCCCTCTGAAGCGGCACCAGGAGACCTATGAGGCCAAGAGGGTTCTCTGGACTTTTTGTGCTTCTTGTGGTTTAGGGTTTAGGGATGTCGGAGTTTAGGGATTAGGGTTCTGTGACGGGTGGTTTAAGAATTACAGGAAGATTCTTGCAGTGGAAATTCGTTCACCTGCCAAAGCCTGGGAGCTAGGTCGAAAAGTTTGATAACGATTCTCAGAATGGGCTTACCGCGCCGTCAGACCTGCAGACCTTTGAGCGCGGTGCTCACTTGTGGAGCATACGGGTACGGCCCAGCATGGCTGTTGACGATCGGGCGCGAAATGGGCCCTCTGGGTTGTGTTTCCTCCCTTGAACATCTGTCCAGATTCTTTGAAGTATGCACAAAGTGCTTTCTAAACACATCTGAAATCTGTTATAACTGTATTTATGTTTGTGAAAGCGATTGAAGGTACTTCCAAAAGACTACCGGCCTTCGTGAACATATTTGTCAACACATATTCGAAGTTTTTTTCTCAACAATATTTGGCGAATTTTTGAAGCAACTTCTGAATGATTTATGAATAGTTTGCTCAGACTCAGACAGTGAGCTCGGATGTGAGTGGGCCCCTTGCCTGTTTCCAGAGTCAGAAATCTGGTCAGACATGAACGGAAGGCGAACCACGATTTCAGAAATATAGATATATACATATATATGTACATGTATGTATTTATATATATACATTAGACATTATCCAGAAAAAAGTACAACGTCAGAATAAAACAACGCTACGCTGCATGGACTACGCATTTTTGATGTTCTTTGACTAACTTCCGAAATTTGCTGTGCGTGCTGGGCCCCTCACAGGACAAGGAAACGTCAGACCTGGATCCTGCTTCCATTGCCAAGTTTCTTGCCATCCATGCCTCCCCAACGTTGTGACTTCTCGAGACATGCAACTCCTGAGCTCATGCCCGCGTTAGAAAAGTATCAGAACTTTGTTCATGAGATATTCTGTTCTGCCCCCTAAGCACAAGCCAAACTTTAGTTCGACAGCAGAAACCCATGTAGAAACTGTGTCATACATCATTCCTATCTACTTTCCTGCTGTTTTCCACACACGGGCATCCCTACTTAGGCCCTCCTTGAACAGTTGGCGCCTTTTTATGCTTCATTGTCGGTATGCGTGCCAAAGAGGCAGCTGAGTACCACACGTGGGCACTTTCCGCAATTGCTTCGTGCGGTCGGCTCTTGGCGGCGCCAGTCCGGAGCTTTAGGGTTTAGGGTTTAGGGTTTGGGGTTTAGGGTTTAGGGTTTAGGGTTTAGGGCCATAGGCTTTACGTGCGCAGACGTGAGAAGCATTCGAAAAATGCTGCAGCGAAGAGCGTCTGTTTTTTTTTATATGTTGGCCCGCAGGTCCTTGCTGCAAAGAGAGCGCAGGCCGCGCCGAGATCCCAGCTGAACTTGATTGGGTTGGACGGCGACCTGCAGATGTTGGATCTGAAAATTAAGGGGGTACAGTAATGGCTCAAAGATGGAGCAACTCGTGCAGCCTCCAAACAAGCACATGGCCACCTGCACTGCGACTTGCAAGGCACATGTGAGACGTGTGAGAACAGAAGTTTCTGAAATCGCATGCAAGGCTAGTGCCTCCGGAGCAGCTTTTCAAGCAAGGCGACTACGAAGGAAAGTGTCTCTCGCATGTTTTGGACCCATGGACATCTGTTGCATGCATCTTTTGCCGGCACTGTCCTTGCATGACGAGATGAGGTACTCCCGCTACGACGAAAGGGGTGTCCCGACTCATGGGGAGGCACAGGGCCACAGACACCGTCGGGTGTGATCATGATATCTGTGAACACGAGCTTGCGCCCCCAGACTCCAGCAGCCATCTCACGGCACTGGCATGCTGGCAGGATGGGTGCGAGCTCCCAAAGAGCGCGATCAAGAAGCTGGTGGGTCCAGGGAGAGCTCCCAGGGATCATGGCACATCGCAACAGCCCAGAACAGACCTCAAGGCACCGTCAAGTTTGGCGCCGAGGTCAAGCTGTATGAGGTGCAAGTCAAGAAGTACAGCAAAGCCACGGCAGCGGACGCCCCAGGTGTCCCGTCGCTTGGCCGCACCCCATGCCCGGGCCTCCCCAGGCTAATGCAACTTTGCTCCGTTCGGTCGGGCCACAAACCTTCAGCAGCAACATCCTAAACCTGAAACCTCACTCATAAATACCCCTAAACCTGAAACCTCACTCAAAAACAACCCAAAAACACTAGGCCCTAAGCCCAAGATATGGCAACACCTCGCACCAAGAAACTGCAGGGAAACCGCCGGAAAGAAGGCCGACCTGGAGGCGCCACAACGGCATTTATCTGCTACTAGCGGGTTTAGGGTTTAGGGTTTGGGGTTTAGGGTTTAGGGTTTAGGGTTTAGGGTTACTTCGCCTCTCACTTTTCCGAGGCATCGCCGAAGACCGGCGCTGAAGAGCAGGCCCGAAACCACCGAGAGCGGAGACGAGAGAGCAGCGCCCAGAGAGTTGGCATTCCTGCACACTCACTCTCGTAACTTTAACAGTGCGTTGTTGGGCTGAGGGGTGCGCTTGTGCTACATTTCTGTATATTGTTCATACTTCGGTTTCATAAATGGTACTGATATTCTGTTCATACTCATTCGAACCAGGCCGCCTTGAGCCTTGCCAGCCTCTGCAAGGCCCCGGTGTTGCCGGAGGGCAGCTGCCTGCCCGACGTGGTGTGCGGAACTTTCGGAGGCGATGTGTTTTGAATGGGGTCTGGATTTGGGTTTTAAGTTTAGGGTCTTTAGGTCTCGTAGTCGGCCAGGTTTGATACAAAGTTCTTGTTGCGACTAATGTCGTGGGCAGTCCGTGGACCTGAATCGGCATCGGTGATGTAGGTGGAGGTTTGTAGTTTTGCAAAGCTCGGCGATCCCGCCTCTTGGGGTTCCAGACATAGGTCGGCATGAGGCCTAGAAAGATTGCACCCCCGTGGGCAAAACCGGCTGCCTTTAGAGATCGGTGGTTCCACCCCCAGCCGTCGCAGGCCGCCAAGGCAGAGCCGGGAACTGGGCGTGGGAGCCGCTTTCCTCCCCAGTTTGTGGTCGCCGGGGTCTTTTTTCGGAAGGTTTGTGGGGTAGCTTTTCAATTTGGGTCCCTTGTGGGGCCCTATATAGCATTGCACCCTTAAAGAAAAAGGACCCTAAGCCTAAACGGACCCCCAACAGGCCCTAATGGTTTGAGACTGCAGGGTTTGGGGCTTCTTGAACTGAAGGCAAGAGAAGGAGGGATCCCGATGCGAACTGCCACAAACATAAAAGACCTCAGTCCTGACTGAGCAGCTCGAAAAATGGCTCCATGTTTTGAGCCTTGAACCAAACAGCACCCGACAGCCGAGTCGAACCCCCCGCCCCAGACATTCTTTAGGATTATATAGTATGTAAAACAAATTTAAAGATGTCATGTAAAGTATAAAATGTATACTCAATACTACGTAATGTATGAGGTCTAGAATGTAGAATGTATACTATATCAGATTATGTATATGTATATATACATGTATATGTATATATATATATATATATGTGTGTGTGTGTGTGTGTGTGTGCAATGTGGAATGTCTTCTCAAAGCCCCCAAAAACCACCCCAAGAGATGCCCTGAGCACGGGCAGGTCTTGAGTTGATCTCCTCAGGGCCGTTGACACATTCCTTCGTCTTCTGAGCTCTGAAGATGTTTTCCAGGGTTTCGGGTTTAGAGTTCAGGGTTTGGGGTTTGAACCAAGGGTTTAGGGTTTAGGGTTTAGGGTTTAGGGTTTAGCGCCGAGCAACTGTTCGATGTGCAGCACCAGCCAGTCGCTGGCCAATGACATGGCCCCCGGAGCTCTTCGCAGAAATGCAGGAAGCACGTGTGGCAAGTTGCCCCATGGATGAGTCGTAGACAAGGAAGATTGGGACACAGCATGTCCTTGATTGAGTACCGGCGCCAATCAGGATCTGAAAGGTTGTTAAACCTCATTCCCTCAATGTGGCAGCTTCCGCTGTGTGCGTGTTTAGCAAGTCTTGGATTTAGGAAGGGGCGCCCTAGATTTCAGGCTCCTTTGTTGCCCAACAGCTGTCGTATTGATGTTGAGCAGTTGCTGTTTGCAGGGCAACGGCACAGATGCCAGCGATACAAGGTATGTCAGTATCAAATCCAGTTTAATGTCAGGTAGATTCTCCGATGAGGTTCCGGTCCGCCGTCGCCTTCTCTCGTTTACTGTCCAAGCTGAGATAGATGCAGCTTGGCGATGCCATGCCCATGGAGTGGTCCATGTCCAACAAAGCCTTTTGATTTTCATGTCATGCTTCCTTTGCCTATCCTTGCTCGATAACCTGAAGATTCCAGGCTGCATTCCGCATCGCATTGCATGCTGTGTTTGACCGTAGCAGTCCCAAGCGCTGTGGCGATGTGCAGCTGGTAGTGTGCTAGACATCAGCCATGCCCAATGTTCGTGCGGTCGGCTCGGGTGCCCCTTTGCAGCTCGTGGTTGAGACAGGGGCACAATCAACAGCCTCAATACTCAAGACCTTGGCGCCAAATCTGAATGCAAGGGAAGTGCAGCAAACCCAGGTGCGCCAAGCGCTCTTTTCCCCACTGAAGGTACGAAGGTTGAGGACCTGCCGCTGCTCAACGCGCACGTGGCTCAGGGTTTGGGGATGTGTCGGGTGTGACCTATGCAATGCATAAATAAATACATAAACAAACAAACAAATAAATAATATATATATATATACATTCATATGTATATGTATGTATATGTATATGTATGTATATGTATACGTATATGTATATGTATATGTATATGTATACGTATACGTATACGTATACGTATATGGTATGTATATGTATATCTATACATGTATATGTATATGTATATGTATATGTATATGTATATGTATGTGTATATGTATATGTATATGCATATGTATATGTATATATGCACATGTATATATGTAAATGTAGATGTATATCTATATATGTATATGTATATGTATATGTATATGTATACGTATATGTATATGTATATGCATATGTGCAATCAAGTTTCGTGTTGGCGGTGTGCGATCAAAGCTCAAGCCGGCTGAAGATAAGCCAACGCAAACACAAGCCGCGCCCATGCATCTCTACTCCACGTAGACGCAGCAGAGAGCACCTGCATCTTCTCAGAAGGTGCCAGGTGAGAAATCTTGTGGGCGTGAGAGAGGGTAAGGTTAACATAATTGCCCCCATCCCAGGATCTCCAGAAATCATGCTATTCTTCTTTGGTGTAGGTGAGCTTTTTCTTCTCCAAAAGTTGTAGCAGTACCAAGCCATTGAAATCTGACCCCCCCTGGTGGAGTTATATAAGGGTTTCCGAACATAGGGGATACCCAAACTCCACAAACGGGAAAAGCCAGTTAAACACTCAACCTGGTTTGTCCAGCAATTCGGCTGCCGAAAACCCCTATCAACCCTAAACCCCAAACCCGATGACTGAAGCATCCCTGCGATGCCCCTCAACCCTAAACCCTAAACCCTAAACCCTAAACCCATTTTGGCTCAAGTTTTTTTTGTTGTGGAGAACTTAAGTTGCCTCCGAACGGTGTCGCGACTCGCGCACACCCGCGTTCTTTTGAGCGTTAACCTTAAGGTTGCCTTAAGGCATCGACTTATGTCGTCCACCCATAAGGGTAGGAGCAAGAACCATAACATTGAAAGTTCGGTGGTCTCTGTTCGTGAGATCGGCCAAAACTTTAATGTTACCTGCGAATACAAGGACACGAGAACAAGGTCCAGCGTAACCGGACGCTTGTTTTCAGGGAACAAAGCCACTGGGGCTAAGCTGACCCGGCACAAAGGTATTCGCAGTGTGGACGCACGAGGGCTTCACAACCCAGAGTCCATGGCTCTTGCCAAAGGAAACACGGGCCACTACGCACCATTAGCACAGAAGGTGCTTATGAGTGCAGAGGCCCAGAAGATAGTAGAGCAGGTGATGGATTATCTCGGACAAGGCTACGCTGTGGTAGTCATTTGTACGCACGGTATGCATAGATCCGTTGCGTGCGGCGAGAATGCCTCAGCGAGGTCCGGGATTAAAATCCATCACTTAGATCTGCGTAACGCGGTAATAGCACGCAATGGTGTCTGGCCCCTAACAAGCGAGGGTTCCTACACCTTTGTACCATCCTCGAGCATCGCCTCTTCTTCAGCCCTCTCCATGGGTCATAAGACTCAAGCAGAGATCGTCCTTAGCAAAAATGGCGTGACCCTTTTGAAAGGTTACGTCCTGCATGTGGGCGGCTTCGAATTTGGCCCTTTTGAGAGGGATGTGCCCCTATGCAGGGCAGAAGCGAGAGACGAGGATGGAGGCACGATCAGCGAAATGACCCTCCCCGAAAGCGTGTCGGACCTAGCGTCCGACTATCTGCGCGAATGGGGTTTTCGAGATCAGTGTTACCGCATCACAAGGCCCATTAAGGGCTCGGTGGATAACCACATAAGTAACCGCATGCCGGGCTTTAAAGCCTCGGATAGCGACTCCACGGCATGCGCCGTGCTCAAGTCCTCTTGGGAGAATGCCTCTAAGGGTGAGTTAACTCACGTACTTTCTGGCACTCTGCCATGGGCGCCTACGTCAGCCCAAACTCGAGATTGGCTTAAGTCGCAAATTCCTAGCCTCCACGTCTTCCAGGAGGTCCACGAGGGTAATGAGCATATTGCTCAAAGGGAGCAAGAGCAGTTGGCCAGTGCGCTGACTGACGGCCCCTATATGGCACTGGTGGCCGCAGATACCCAACGGGTACTGCTTGGCCGGTGGTGCATGAAGCTGATGGGGCTCGTAGCTCCTGAGCTTCTATCGAGGGCACGCGGCTTTCGGCGAAGCTTGTTCGCTTCACTGGATGGCCGCGGTGGCCTCCTCCTCGTGACCACCGAACGACGTCTCAAGGCCTTTTTATATGGCCGTGTGAGACAATGCCCGGAGTGTGACGGACTTGCGCAGGAGCTAATCGAGCTCTTGGATGGCACAAAGCCATGGAGACAATGGAAGCTCATACTGGAGGCCATTGAGCGCCGATCCGACAAGCTGGACAGACCTTTTGCGAACGTACGCCAACAATGGCAAGCGTTCCACAGGGTTCTGCAAGCAACTTCGATCGGCTTAGACCTCGTAGACTCCGACCATCTCCGTGACTCCCTTCTGGAAGCTCGCGTCGCCTTTATTTCCCAGTTTGTAAACGATGGTAACATCGCTTCAGCTGAATTTAAGGCGCTCGCCGATCTCGCCTTGTCGGACTCCCTGCGTGGAACGGCCGCACTTGACGATAACGTCCTTATCTCCCGATTAGGCAGGGCGGCAGAAACCGACCCTCGCATTATCCTCCATAAGGAGGAAATCGATCGGAAGAAGGCGGAGAGCTTTTACCAGGAACACCCTTACGGGGAGTTTATCCAAGAGGTGGAGAAGGCATGTGGTGAGGCGGGTGTCGACTCGCCATATGACATCTTCCTTAAGGATATTCTACATCGGGCTTGGGGTATCCCAAAGAAGGAGTTGCCCGACATGCTAGCCCAGAAGGAGAAAATCGAACAGTCCGGCATATGCCGAGGCTCTCCTTGGGCTGACAGCGATGGCAATCTCCTTGAGTTTGCGCCCAGCACGCGATCAGGCTTCGGCTTGACTCTTAAGAGAACTGCCACCCTCAGATTCTCCCGGAAAATGGGCGGCATAGCCCGGGAGGCTGTCATGATGGTACAGGCCGATCTGGGTGATGATGAGCCGACTCCATCTTACATGCGTGAGTCGACCATCTCAGCAAGAGGGTTCTTTAAGAACAGGTTAAGCAAGCAATTAGCAGAGACTAAGGAGTTTCAAAAGAGGCTCCATAAGGTCTGCTTATGCAGCTCAAAGCATATGCTAGAGCATTGCCGTACCTGCGTGGACCCTAACTGCCCCGAAGAGCACCTCCATAGGACCACGATCTTCGACGCTATTTTCCCTGAACGGGAAAATAAGCCAAGGTCATTTGACCTGCAGCCCGCCGAATTCTCGGTCCTTACGGAGGCAGTTGAACCGCTTATGCGTGCCGTGATTGACCTCTATCACGAACAAAATGAGGCCTACCACGGATTTCGCAATAGCATTATGCAGGACATTAATGCCCTGCTCCAGAAAAGCGGGGGTCGAAATCCCCTCGACCTCATCGCAGAGAGTTTTGATGCGAGCGTCAGCACTGATATGCTTGAATTTCAGCACTTGCATCGCCTCTGGGATGTGATTTTCACCGCTATTCCTGCTCATTGGCTAAATGTCGATTTCCCTGGCGCTTATCCGGGCTGGCAGAAGGACGTAGCATATGCTGCTGCCTCTCCACGCGTGCAGCGCCTTGGAAAAATGGTGTCCAACCGGGTACCTGGCTTTGGGGATTTAGCCATAGAGAAAATGTGCGAGGCGCCTGACCTAAGTGAGGTGTCCACGTTTCACGTGGAAAAACACGAGGAACTCCTGCGCATTCGCCCTCCACGCATTATGAGTGGTGGGGGCTGGTCACCATGCCCAATGGTAGGGATAGACGAACCTGACATAGAGACTGGACTTAGCGGGTTCGCCTTCCTCCGCCATATGGCACAGGTGAGGAGTCAGTATGCTGAGGACAAAGATGCATATCTTGCAGAGGTCGATCAGATTCTGACGGATTGTGAAAAGCTCCCTATTAACCAGATAGCCGGAGATGTTGTTGAAGCCGTCAATAAGGACGGTATCTGCGTCATCTCCGCCTCGACGGGAACAGGGAAAACCACCCTATTACCTCTCCTACTTCGCACCGAACGCCACGCAAAGTACGTGGTCACGCAGCCACGACGACTTGCAGCGGATGGCGTCTGCGGTAGGTGTAACGAGGAAGGTGCAATCGCCAAGGCTATCCATAAGGATAATCGCTTCCCCCTTTTATTACAGACCCCCCCAATACTAAAAACACTTTCCGGAAAATCCTGCCGAAACCGACCCCGCCTTTTAAACCCTATTCCGAATTAGGGGGGGGTTCAGGGCACCCAAAACCCGCCAGCCAACCAACATCCTAAAGCTCCCTCCCTCTCTCCCCAGCCTAGACCCTAAACCCTTTGGACCCCAAACACGGCATTTGGATAAAAACCTCCCCCTAATAATAAAAACACATTTCGAATTTCTATTGGGGGGGGGGGGGGACCCCCCGTTTAATATTAGGGGGAAACGATTAGTAAAGTTGAAGGCAAGTCGGATATAACCACTTGCACTGAGCACTATTTGCTCCTTGAGCTGATTGCACGCGAGGGTGGTAAAGTTGGGCCAATCGGGGACTTCTCTCTTCTATTCCTAGATGAGGTTCACGAATTCTCCTTTGAGATGGTTCTCATCTTGGCACTTCTTAAGAGGATGCCCGTTGAGAAACGCAACTTCGGGATTATTATTATGTCCGCTACTGGCCCGGCAGAATTATTCTGCAAATATATGGGGACATCTAATTTGCTTAAGCTAATAGTCCCTTCTAATGCCCCTGTAGAACATGTGTCTGTTAACAGCGAGTCCAAACTCCTTAAGGAGTGTACGGACCGAACTTGTTCGGGCTATTCGTGCCTAATTTTTTGCAACTCCATTCCACATGCAGATGGAATAGCTGCTGCATTAAAGAAAGCACATCCAATGGCAGAGGTTAAGGTGCTTCATGGCACCTTGTCCAAAGCCGCGCAGGCAGAAGCCATAAGGGAACCTGAAGACAGGATTAAGAAGTTCATCTGCTCCACCGCCGTGGCAGAGACCTCTCTCACCGTAAAGAAACTTCAGGTGGTGGGTGATTTCCGTACTATCCAGCACAAGATCTTCTATCCTCTTGCGAATTGAGCAATGCTTACACGCATTACCGCACCGGAGGACAGATGGCGTCAACGACTGGGTCGAGTCGGCAGAGTGGAACTGCCCGTCAAGCAGTTCTATGTCCATATAAATTCAAACAAGAATACTTAAACTCTACAAAACCTCGTCCGGGTGCAAAACTGGACGGACACCTACTTACGGATGGCTCATGCGAACATAAGTCCCCATGAGCAAATCCTTTCGCCACCACCCCTCCATGAGGCGCGCTTCCGTGAGAGTCTCGTTCGTGCAGGGCTTCTCACACAAGAGGTGAGTAGTGATGGCAAAAAGAGCGTCAAGGCAGAGTATCCTTTGCCACACTCCCATCGAGTTCAGAAAATTCTGGGCTACCTGGGAGAGTGTTCAAAGCAGGCAATGGTAGAGACGCTCTGTATGCACCTTATGGTGGACAGCGGTCTTCTATTTAAGGACGTCTTTGGTGATGAGCCTGGTGGAAGAACGCGTTTAGCGGACGCCATCGAGAGATATGCCCTTCAGCAGGGAATCCAATATCTTAGCGCAATTCGCGAGATAATCGCACCTGAAGACTGGTTTACTCCAGAAGGCAACTTTGATACAAACTGCACTCGAGTTGTCCTCGCGGAGTTTAACCTCACACTTCAGCAGGTTTCTCGGGAATTTGCGCGGATTTGGAATTCCAAGTTGAAGGATATAGTCTTTCGAGACCAATCCCGCTGGCACCCAACATCCCTCTTGGCGCTAATGTATCCTGAGTACATTCGTTTGTGCTCAAGCAAAGAGAGCCGCGCCCACTGCCCTTTCGGTCAAGGGGATATAGTGCCACCCCAGAGTCAGGCTGCAAACGTAGATCCTGAACAAGCTTGGCTTTGCTTAAGCATTAGGGAGTGCCAAGATGACTGGGGAGCTTATTTCCAGTGCTCAGACGCCTTCGAGATTAACCCACAAGAGCTTCCCAGGGTCATGGAAGACCTGCTCAGGTTTAAGCTCGACATGACGTATTTCTCGTGGCCGGCTGAGGACTGGAATGATTTCGTACATTCGGAGGGTACAAAGACGGCCAGTATTCACGTCCTGAACCCTTCAAAGGCCCTGATGCCTATAAGGCCTATTTAGGGGACCATTGTCCCATACTACCATGCAGGCAGATGCCCGACGAAAGTTTAGGACACATTTCAAGGCCTTATGTGAGAGGGCCGAGAGGACCCGGAAAGGAGAAAGGCTTAGTGACAAAATGACCCAACGTGGGTCAGAGATGTCCTGTCGCCTTTCATTTGGCCAGCTTAATGCTAGCTCGCTTTTCGGGCGCTTCGCTGGTGAGCAAATTGCTAAGCTTCCCAGAGATGTGCTTAAGCACTTACTAAACCTGGCCCCCAAGTCCTGTCGTCAGAAATTGGATCTTCTCAAAGATGATGATAAGGATTTTGAGGGACAAAGAGTAGGCTTTGGAGACGACGTTTTTGCTAACCCTTTAAACTCGAGTTTGGGTAGTACTTGTCAAGTATGTTCCTGTGCCCCCCTAAAGACGACGGGAGAGGCCGAGGCCCTTTGAACAGCCTGGCCACACGACAACTGGCCAAACGAAAGATGGTCAGTCTGCACGACAGAACGTGTGAGGCCACGTCCTCTTGGAAGAGTGCGGGCCAAAAGGCTTGCCGTAAGGCTTCCATGTGCATAGCTCAGATAGGACCGCTTGTGAGGGGACAGTGTAGGCAACGATGAATAGGGTTTGCGGTGTTTTTTTCATGGAGATGGTTTGTGGTACGGTCGGGTCCTACCCGCTGCGCCCTCAGTCAAGCCGGTCGCTGTGCCGTTCAGCCAAGAACCCAGGGGGTGGTCCGGGTGATAGGGTTCCTTGATCATTGATTAGCCCGGGGCCATATGCCCTGTGAAGTTTACAGCAGCATGACCCCCTGCCCTGGCACGGAGAGGCACGGACATGCAGGCCTGCATCAGTGGGCGCCCCCCTCCCTCACCTCCCGGAATGAGGTCTGGTTGAGTTCTTGGGAGTTGAGGTTTGCTGTTGGATGTGCTTTCTGGTTGTGGTATTGGCTTCGGGGAGGTGTGGGGGACCATTACGACGGTAGGATTTCCTCAACTGAATGCCGAAGGCGAGTTTCTCAGGGCGGTTCCATCAGGCCCGGGATTTTTTTCCGCTTCTCCGAGACCGACCTACCAACCCCGCATTGCTGTGGCTAGACGGGTGCCAAAAAAACCCTAAACCCTAAACCCTAAACCCAGTTCGTCCCAGCTGTGCAGGAGGCCTAAGTGTATCGCATAGGCCCTTCAAACGCGCTCCCATGGCAAGACTCTGAGACAGTGTGTGCCTCGCCTGGCTTGTCCGAGTGTGAGCGATTAACCCCCCAAACCCTAAACCCCCAACCCTAAACTCCACCCGGTGGGAAACAAGACACCCTAAACCCCAAACCCTAAAACCTACTACGCTGCTGCTGCAAAGAGTGCTTGCAGAAACCTACCCCGCAGTGCTGTGGTTAGTCGGGTGGCAAAAAAAACCCCAAACCCCAAACCCTTGAAAAGACCAAAGAAGCCCGACCCTAAACCTTAAACCCAAACCCTAAACCCTAAACCTTGAGGCCCGACCAGCTCCAAGAGAGCCGGGAAGCCACGGCTGAGGAGGCCGAGGCCGCGCTGTCTGCGGGGAATGGGGCCAAGGAGAGTGAAGAGGAGGGGAGTAGGAGGTTTAGGGTTTAGGGTTGAGGGTTTACGGTTAGGGTCTAGGGCTTTAAGGATGTAGGGTTTAGGGTTTATAGGGTTATAGGGTTTAGGGGTTTAGGGGTTTAGGATGGTTTAGGGTTTAGGGTTTATGCTTCTGGCAGTCAGCAAGTCCAGCTTCAAAAAAGGGTTTATGCTTCTGGCAGTCAGCAAGTCCAGCTTCAAAAAAGGGTTTATGCTTCCACAAGGCATATTGGGAGTGTTCGTTTTTCAATGTTGCAGCGCTGCTATTTCTTCTTGTTGGAGATCAAGTTTGCCCTTCTCCTCATTCGGCTTCTTCTGCTCATTGTTATTGATATTTTTAGTATTCCTCACATCAGCTGCCGAGCCGGGGGTTCGAGTTGGCAGGCTTTGCCGTTTCTGGCCGTTGGGTTCCCGGGGGGCCCTTTTCGGTTCTGGCAGCTGCCGGGTGATGCAATTCGCCTGCGAAAATCGCCCTTGCAAGTATCGTGGTTGAGATGGTCAGCATCTTTCAGCATGAGTCCAGGAGTCTTACATAGTCTTACTGACTCACCCGAAAGCAGATGTCTTGTGCGAGGCCTTTGCCGAGGACTTCCAGACCCCGCAGGGCCCTCGGAGAATGCATTCAGCACCCAAGGAAATGCTCCAAGGAGTGGAACGGTTGTTTTGTCACGATTGCTTGGCGACGAAGAGTGCTCACAGCACGTCTCAAGTCAAAAGCGAAAGGGGATCATGCTGCTCGTCAATATGGGTTCATACAGCCGAGTGATGCGAACGATTACGAACTTCGACACGACAATGTGTCAATTTACCGTTTGGATGCTCCTGCCAGCTTCGAGGAACTCGCCCACAGGACCTACGACAGGATCCTGTTGAGAATGCTGCCTAGACACATGTGCCCGTTTCAGAGCCTGAGGCCAGTCTTATCTGCAGGTTCATGCATGGGTTCGTGCAGGAATCCGGCATAAAAGGGACCATGACTCGTCCCTGAGGCAGCATGAGCAACCTGCGTCCGTAGCAGTTCGCGTTGTGCACGCACGGAACGGTCGATGCTTTAAAGCCTGCGTCCTTGCCAAGAGAGATTCGCAGCCGCGGTCGTCTGATCTGAATGTTGAGATGGTTGACTTGACCCTTAACAGGAAAGGTCGGAACGTTAAGCCTCAAAGCACCTTTGACCGGAAATAGGCCGGAAATAGGCCCCCCCAAACCCTAAACCCTAAACCCTAAACCCTAAACCCTAAACCCTAAACCCTAAACCCTAAACCCTAAACCCTAAACCCTAAACCCAAAAAAAATTCGCTTTTTCAAGTTTTGCGCGTTCTCTAGCACAGCTGGAGGCCCAGCAGCTGTGGAAGCAGCCGGGCGCCTAAGGAAGTGTTTTGCATCCCTGTCTGCCATGGCAAGAGGGTTTAGGGTTTAGGGTTTGGGGTTTAGGGTTTTTGGGGTTTAGGGTTTAGGGTTGAGGGTTTAGGGTTTAGGGTTTTTGGGGTTTAGGGTTTATGGTTTTTGGGGTTTAGGGTTTAGGGTTTAGGGTTTAGAATTCACACGCCACATCCTTCTGGGCGCCATGCTCCGCGGGTCCCGCGCCCAAGGTTCCCCGCAGCAATTGCGCAGCTGGAGCTTTTCAGTAGGTGGGTGGCGGGCATGCTCCGCAGCCTCCTGCGCCGAAGCATCGATGTTAGCATCTCAGAGCTGGGGGTGGCGACCCTGACGATGAGCCGGCCGCCGGTCAATGCCTTCAACAAGGCGTCCCCGAGCTGCATTAGGGCCGGCTTTGGGATGCTCGAATGGGGCGCGCTCTTGCAGCGACCTGAGGCTGCTGCAGACGCTCCGCTCCTCCCTTCAGGACGTGCAGCACGAAGCAAAAGTCGGAGCCCTAGCACAATCCGACCCAGCATACCTAGCCGGAACCGTTCGGTTCTCTTGGGAAAGCCCATGGGTCAACTAAAGCCTCAACCCTAAACCCTAAACCCTCAACCCTAAACCCTAAACCCTGAGGTGGGTGGCAAAAAAAAAACCTAATGAGGCAGTGGTTTTGACCAGCGACCTCAAGTGCTTCTGCGGTGGCTTGGACCTCACAACCTTCACGCAGCCTCGAGCAGAGCCAGCTTCTCAGTTTCATGGTTTTTTTTCTCAGATTCTCAGGTTTAGGGTTTAGGGTTTAGGGTTTAGGGGAGATTCTTTCACATTCTCTCACCACAATAAGATCAAGAAGATGAGAAGGAGACGTGGAACTCCTAGCTTTGTTCATGACAGCCACCAAGCTAAGCTAAGCTAAGCAAGGTTGGTCAGCTTCTGGACAGAAATGGAAGAAACCTGGCGATCCCTCTACATGTACCCCTTGCCCACCGTTGCTGCCATCAATGGCTCTTCCCCGGCCTGGGGCGACTTGACCGCAAGATGGTTGTCTCGGACTTAATATATACATGTAGGGTTTTGGGTCTTAGGGCTTAGGGTTCATGAGGGCATGGGCTCCTGGCAAAGTTGGACTACCTGAGGCTGTGTCATGGCCCTCAGCTGCGATCACCGCATCATGGTCTCCAACCCTCGGGCGATCATTGGCTTGAATGAGGCCGCTATAGGACCGCCTTCTAGAGCTGTGGGTATGCCCATCTGACTTCCCTTCCGTGTCCACACGGTGAGAGATGCGTGTAGGAGTTCAGCCCTCACGATGGATGCAGGCTGACGGAAATGTGGTCCCAAGCGCTCTGTTCGTTGAGCCTAGTAACCAAATTGGGGTCAGCCGCGGTAATGATGATGTCAATCGCAGCTGCAGGTAGTGCCTGCCCGCTTTCATGCAATGTCTTCCTTCTCACACTCAGTGGCCTTCGCGGACAGGTCTTGCTGGAGCGTGTGGTGGGTTTCCGAGAGGCCGCTTTCCGCAAGCAGCGGTTACATTGACCTTGACAGTGGGCGGACACTCTGACAGGCGGAGCGCATGCTCCTCCAGGGGACGCTGGTCAGTGCCACACGTGCCGCACAGATGGGACTGGCTTCTCAATTCGCTCAGCAATCTAACCCCCTCCCCCTAATATTAAACCCCCCTACCCCCTAATATTAAAAACCCCCAATATACTATAATATAATATAACTGTAATGGGGGGTATGTAATATTAGGGGTAGCGGGGGAGGGGATTATTGGAATATGGTGGCAGCTCTTGGACTGCAAGCATCCCAGACATCCCAGACACCCCCAACGGCCCTGCAGGACTTGTGGATGAGCTGTCGGAAGCCGAGAGGTTACATGCGCTGGCAGCGGAGCGTGCGCTACACCTGGCCGCGACACCGCCTGCCGCATATGCAGCCTGCAAGCGAAGCTTGGACTGATTTTTTCAGTGATTTTCGGGAGTCAGGTTCAGTCGGACGCTTAGAAGTAGTCAGATCAAAGGGTTTGTGCAGCCCAGGCAATTTTCGAAACTGGGTCTGCGAGCTGTCCGGACCAGCGAGTGTCGAAGCGAAGGTCAGTGCAGTTATGCGCGCTGAGTGCCAAAGTGCCGTCCAAGCGCAGTTGGAAAGGCTGAAGCAAAAGGAAAGGAAGGCAGAATGATGCGGGCGGCGAGCTTCATCCCGCGATCGAGCGGCAAGACTTCGAAGTCATCGAGTTCGGCAGAGCGAGCGCGGCCAAAGCAGCCAGGGTCTCCCAACGGGAAGCACGGAGTGCTGATCTGCCTTTGCTGGGCCCGGTGAGCAAATGAGCAACAGCGTAGAGAACCGAGCGGTAAGTGGCCACTCGCATGCCAGCGGCTCATTCTAGGGTCCACGGAAGTTGTGGGCGTCACCTGCACAAGCAGAGTGCTGCCACAAGCTCGATGGGACTATGCACGAGAAGTGACTGCAATATTCTGTTTGCCTGAGACCCAAGCAGCTTCTTTCAGCGGGGCTTATGTTCAGGATACCTCGTCCTTGTAGAGCTGTTACCTGCTCAAGTAGTTTATTTTGGCTTCGGCGCTGCCGTCCTTCCAAGCTTCTCGGCAGCCTTCTGTCTGCAAGCGTGTGCAATGTGACTGCTGCATGCTAAGCCTTTGATCACTCAAGCAAAAGATGCACCAGGTCATGGCCTATCTGTGGAATGTGTTGCGGGAGGACTTCGGTGTTTCTACTGCGTGCACGGCCGACCGGATGTTCGATACTTGTTGTGAGGAGATCTCAGGCACCATAGATGACTTCCGTGAGAAGGGTGCCTGGGGAGCTTTCAAAGATGCCACACTGGACGCAGTGGACCTGGTTCAGGATGCAGGCGAGTTTCTGTTCTAGCCGAGCATGTGTGCAGACATCGAGAGCAAAGTTTGTTTTTCTCTGTGCCCAGCGTCGATCCACGTGCAGGAGGCGCTCTGGTGAATGGCACAGCGCAGCTGCTTTCCCTGGACTTCTGGGGGGTGAAATTCTCGTCCTGAGCATCCCCCACATTCTTGCCCGAAACCCTAAACCCTAAACCCTAAACCCTAAATCCTAAACCCTAAACCCTAAACCCTAAACCCTAAACCCTGCCAGGAACGCCCCTTGCTGTGCATCGGGGCCCATGGCCGGGTTCCGGAGTCCGGTGATGAGGTGGGATCAGTCCCCTTAGGGGACTGGCAGCCCTTGCTTGTGTCGGTTTGCCAGGTGCAGATCAGCCTTTCGAATGGTCGCCTGGCACGCGCTTGCTTTCTGCCGAAGCTCTTGGTTGCTTCATGCTTTGGGGCCCGCTGTGCTTCCTGTACTGATCCCACGCATTGGGTATTCTAGAGTCGGATCCAACAACGAAAGACTGAACATCAAACGTTTTCAGCGTTCGAGATGGCGGGATACCACTAGTATCCACGAGTCATGATGCACCCAGATCAGGTCAGCCGCCAGTCATGGCGAAAGTCTATGGCGTGGATAGCATCTCCGATCCTCCGAGAGCGCGTGTTATCCGCGCCCTGCTTGCAATGAAGTTGCAATGGGTCGTTCGCGTCGCGCATGCGGCGAACCCTAAGCTCCACACATGGGTCCCAGTGTCTTACAGCGTTTTCTTGGTTTTCTTCAACATTGCGGTTCTTGTTCAGCAAAACGGCTTATTGTTGCACTCGCTTTAGTATCTAGGGCCCCCCCAAACAATTTCGGTATTTTGCTCTCCCTCTGCAATGAAGTGGGAACAGGGGCTGGGGTAGGGCGGGTAGGGGCCGAGGGTTGAGTGGAAGCCTTGAAGCTCGAGGTCGTAATGAATAAAAAAACTACAAGGAATTTATATAAAACCGGACTCCAGAAAATGCCGGAGTTTGAAGTTGGCCAAGCCTTGAAGCTCGAGGATCTCAGGTTGCAAGGCTTTTTGAATCAAAACTATTTTCAGTGTTTGGCTCCTTGACCCCCCCCTGTCATCCCCGGCCACGAACTTCGCAAAAATTGCGGGTAACAATTGTCGCTAGGGGTCTCCCCTGTAATTTTTTTCCAGAACTTCTCTCAATAGCGGGTAGCGATACTAGACCGAGCGCAACATTACTAAACCCTAAACCCTAAACCCTAATGTTCACTTGCCCCGTTTTGAGAACTCCCTCCCCTCTTCGAAGCCCCCTTTATGATAGGCATCCTCCTAGTCTCTTCCCCGCCTCTTCTGGGCCCCTTCTAGGCCTTGTCTGCGTCTGGTAGTCGCTTTATGATTTAGGGATTTAGGGCCATAAAATGGCGGGGGGGCGGGGGGAAGGTGGTGGATTTCAAAAATAGATTGTGCAGAGATTTCGATGGTAGAAATGACCCTGTCATCTTCCTGACGCATAAATCAGTTTGGACAGGTCTCTTGAGCTAGTTTTGTTTTTTATAAATTTGTTTTTTGTTATTCGAAATGGGGTTAATAATTTAGTTCCGGGGCTTGCTTTTTTAATTCTTGCGGGGGTTTATTACAGCCGAGCCCGATATGAAACGGAACAGAAACTATTCTGACCCTGGGGGCATATGCCCCTCAGCAGGCACAGACATTATCTGCAGCCAAAACTGTCCGCCCGTGCTTAGTGTGGTTGTGTGCAGGAGGAAAGGGTTTCTCGGACTTTGGTGGGGAAGTGGGCAACGCATGTCAGACTTCAGTCTGAACGATGGCCATCCTGGTCATCACATCTTGAAGGGAAGCAGTGCAAGTTTCTGCATGTTTTTACATGGGGGTTTACGAAATAGGGGACCCCTAATACTCCCCCAAATAGTAGGACTCCCTTATAATAAGGACCCCAATAAAGTAAGGCTAAAACACTCCACATACCTCTGCAGCCTGACTCTAAGGGATGGACACCTGCGAGGAGGTGCTGGTCGACATCGTTCGGGCATCAGACATGAAGCCACAGCAGCCAGTGTCGTGGGTCGTGGATGAAGTTGGACGAGCAGTGGTGGAAGTTCGGGAGAAAGGCAGATAAGTTCAGACATGCCCAAAATTGCTTGGGATTGCTTCATTAAACTTATGGATTTCTTAGGCTTTCTTTGGATGTCGACAAAACGAGGGAGTGGATCTGCACAGGTCCTGGTGTCTTGAAGGATGGCGTTCTGGACACGATGGACATTGTGAAGGCACGGGGGACCATGGGGGGAGGATTTCGTACATGTTCCTGAGTGTGTGCACCGCGTGATCTCAATTTTTCAAGCCCTCCGTGCTCGGGCCAGGAAGGTGCCAGCGTGGCCATGACGGGTGCCCATCGCTGCATTGCCACGCTTCGAGGCGGCAGGGTTTGAGCAGACTCGCAGGCAGAAGAGCATAAGATGCCTTGTATAGTGTATAGGTAAACACACACATATGCACACACATGCACGCATACATACATACATACCTACATACAGATGTATATATATATATATATATATATATGTACATATATGTAAAATCAGATATACATATAGATATTCAAACGTTGTAAGATGGTGACAAGGCGATGCGCCCTCCGCTGAGCCGCTGGCGCCTTGCAACCCCTCCCTGGAGCCGCTTCGGCGCTAAATTTTCGTAAGTTACTTAAAGAAACACACACACACATATATATATATATATCTATATCTATATCTATATCTATATCTATATATAAATAAAAAGTAAATAAATTTACAAGCATAGCTGCGACAGATATGTGCCTGATTGTCCAAGCCCAGAACTTTGTAACGTCACAGCGCCACGCCTTCAGCGACTTTCTGAGGCAGATGTATGGGGATCAGAGTGGGCAGCACCCCACGAAGCTGCCAAGCCTTGCCCCGATCAAGATGCCCGTGGAACCGACTCCCATTCTCCTGTCGCCACGAGCCTTGCGAGTGCTTGGAAAAAGGTTTGGCATGTTTCGTGAGATGCCGGGGGTTAAGCAAAACATGGTAGGTCAGACTTCCCGGGATGCAGTCAAGGAGATGACGATGCGCAGGGAGACCAGAGGGTGGCGCAAGGCAGGCTGGACGCAGATGATTGGTACAACGATGCGGAGATAGCTGAGGAGGAGGTCATAGATTGACTGTGGCGGTGACTATGGTTGTCCTCCAACCAAAATTAATGCAAATGTCGCATGTTGTCCGCGCTCGTGCATGGGGACCCTCGTGCCACGCTCCCATGGTGACATGACCTTCGTGCCATCACGCTACACACTCTCGTGGCGTGGAAGGGTCCAACACTTCCTTACCGAATTGGTTGCCTTTCATGACGCAGCTGCTCTGCCCCACAACTTTGGAAGGGCAGGGCAATTTTCCAAGGCTCGTGAAAATTCCAGGTTGGGTGCTGCGCCTATTTATGAACGTAGAACGTACCGAGGAGTTACTGACAAAGGGCCTACCCAAGCAGTTGAAGGCTGCCTTTCCAGCTTCAGCGCACGCAGCACCCATGCGGAGTTTTCGAGTAATCTCTGAGGAGTTGAGCCAGCAACTCTGTCTTTTGCGCGGCGCTGCCAAATAAGCTTAAACCCTAAACCTCAACCCTAAATCCCCAAAGAATCCCGAAGCGACACCTTCTGGGATGGTAAGCAGCACCTTGCCGAGGTTGAGGCTTCCTTTTCGGGCCGCGCCTCCCCCCAGGGGTGCCCCCCCAAAGGCAGCGCCGCTGCACCTTCCGCACGCCATGAAGCCGCGGCGCTCAGGCTTGTGCTTGGAACCCTTTTGCTGCGTTCACCTCCATGGAAGGCCGAGGTTGTTTTTTGTGCATTCTGGTTGAATGGGACACCCTCAACCCTAAACCCTAAACCCTAAACATGCAACTGCTTGGCTTTGGACTCTTCGGACCGACGGACCTTGCCTGCCTTGTGCGAGAGTGAGCGACGAAACCCTAAACCCTAAACCCTAACTCCAGGAGGTGAGTGCAGCACAGGCAGCTTGCCGATGCCTGTAACTGGTCTTCGGAGTCTTCGGGGTGCGAGCATACGAAGCACATGGAACTGTAGGCCCCGGCCTAGAACCCTGAAGCCTAAAGCCTAAACCCTAAACCCTAAACGTTTGCGGAAGCGCATGACATGGCCCACAGGGCTCAGGGCCCCTGAGAGGTACAGGTACAGGTCACAATCTTCCCAGGGCATGGCTTGGACAGGCCGGTGGTTGAGCCCAAAGCTTCTGTAACATAGTTTAGGGTTTAGGGTCTATGATGTAACAATGCAGACATATAAACACATAGTTGTATCAGCAGATAGTGACACACTCATACGAGCACATGATCATCTAATCTTATAATGTTATCATCTTACAATCTTACCTTCTCGCATTCATACAATCACACATTCACACAATCATACCATAACACAATTACACAATCATACAGTCATACAATCGCATAGTCATATAATCATATAGTCACATAATCTCAGAACCTTCTAGTCATACAATCATATACTCATATAGTCATAGAATCACATAATCATATGATCATGCACTCATATGATCATATGGTCATAGCTCGCCATAGGAAGACTGGATCCTTGTCATTCTGTGTCCTGCGCTGTTGAAGCCTCGTTTGGCCTTGTCCACCAATGCCGAACCCCCCTAGCTCGAAACAGAGCTTGGAAGCACAGATCGGTGAGTCCGTGTCGAATTTCCCACGGAGTCGTTCCTGCCAGCCCTGGATCACCTCGTTCCGCGACCGCCCTGCTCCCCGCGCATTTGACCCATCCATGCTCAGCATCCGGCTTGAGCGTTGGTGGAGAAAACCGGGGGGAGTAGAGATTGTTTAGGCTGCTGCCCGCTCACAAGCTTGGCACCACGCCGCTACTCCTTCTCTCGGCAAACAGCGTTGAGAGATGGCTCCGTGAGAAAAGGTGCAGCTGGACCTCTCTGTGAAGCCGATTCCTGATCCTAGAGTTACCAGCGAATGCGACCCCCTCCCCCTCCCTCCCCCCCGCCCCACACACTGCAGGCTGGCATCCGCCGACGGATTCCGATGAAGACCCAGAAGAGGCACCCCGACGTCCCTGCACGTAAGTCTAAAAAGTCTAAACTTAAGCATGACTTGAAATCCTCTTTTAGTCCATGCGACATGTATCGAGAGTACGCTATGCCCTGAAACCACCCTAAAACCTCAAAAGTCCTCATTCGATTTCCATGAGCCCCTCATAGGCCCAAGAGCCCTACACCACTAGTGTCCCTGTGGTCCCGACTGCCCAGAGCCCCGAAGCCTCACCTGCTGCGTGCGGGCGTGAGAGTCTCTAAGCCCTACACTCGTTAGTCCTTCATAGGGATTATAGTACCCCCCTATTACAATCCCTATTCAGGACTGTGAGTACAAGGCGGAACATCCCAACCCTACACCCTCCAGGTAAGAAAGAGACACGAGCCGGATGAGGATGGCAAGTTCTGGGACCGATGCCCAGTTTTGCACTGCAGGCTTTCTGCAAAGGAAGTCATGCAGGCCTTGTATCCCGAAGGGGGGCATCCCGAATACTGCCCCACAATGTTAGAACTCATTGCAATGGCATCTCCTATTCTAGGCTTTCCTGACGGTTGGTTTTAGCTGTCCGGCGCTTGTTCTGCTAGGCGAGGGCTGTGCTTGGAGCTCTTTCTGGCTCAAATTGCCTTGCAGAGTGAACTCACGGCTGCCGGAAGATGCAGGATCGGCTGGGCAAGTGTTTGCAAATATCACCAAGTCGTGCAGACACTCCAACAGCATGCCGGGGCAAATAGGAACCCCCCCCCCGCGGATCTTGCTGGGCTGTTCAGGGAACTGTCATTTGAGTTCAATGCCTGGCGTTTTGCCAGGCCCCAGTGGAACACCGATGGAGCCCATATGCGGACAACGGCGGGACTTGCCTCGGTGTTGCAGGCCAGTTTCATGTCCGCCACACAAGTGGTGCAGCCTCGGACATCTTAGTCCACGCTTGTCATGTCGTGTCGACCCGTAGGCGATGATTTCGTGGTGGTGGCGGCAGACACCCGCCTCAGCCAAGGATACAGCATCCACACGCGGGACTGCAGCAAAGTGACGCAGCTGACAGACAAGTGTGTCATTGCGTCATGTGGCATGAAGGCTGATGCCATTACCCTCCACAAGCACTTGAAGGCACGCATGGTGCACACCTCAGCTTGCCGTCTCTTGCCATCCACGACTTGGCTTCATGAAACTTTCTGCATGTTTCAATGCGCAGTGCGTAGCCTGGTTGAGGTGATGTACGAGCACCAGCATCGCAAGCAGCCATCCGTCACAGCCATTGCCCAGATGCTTGCAACCACCTTGTACTACAAGCGGTTCTTCCCGTACTATACCTTCAACGTTCTCTGCGGCATCGACGATGAGGGAAAGGGGGCAGTGTATCACTACGACGCCATTGGTAGCTTTGAGCGCGTCCCATACACTACAAGCGGTAGTGGAAGTTCCTTGGTGATGAGTGTGCTCGACGCGCAGATTGCAAAGGGGAACCAGACCATTGACACGCCTCCCCTTGACAAGAGAGGCATTGTAGAACTTTGCAAAGACGTTCTCTCTTCAGTTGGGGAGCGTGACATCCACACAGGTGACTATGGCGAGATCTTCCTGATTGATGCAGCAGGCATCTCCCCGACACGTTTCGACCTGAAGCTGGACTGAGAGGAATCGTTGCATTGTTTGCTCGGCTGTCAGCAGATTTTGTCCTCGAAAAGCTATGCAGCTATTGACTTGCTTGACTCCAATGTGTGATTCGTATGATTCATCCACCGCTTTTCATCTTTGTAGGCAAGGCTTTGAGGACACTAGGCTAGAGACTTCCAAGGCGCAGTCAGACACGTTTGGCATCCATTTACCGAGCCCTGCTTGTCAAGACATCGCTAGGTGGTTGGGTGATGCGCCCTTTGACTCCTGGAGTGCGGGTGATAGGCTGTACCAACCGTGCCTGTTCATTACCACTTTGGCTACACAGAACAGATGCCTCGTGGAGCCTCTGCCACTTCTATAGACGCAGTTGACCCGGGACCTCCCAGCACAGGGTTGCCATTCAGCCACGGAGGCGAAAAGAGGCGCTGCAGGAGTGATGGTCAGGATGTCGCCCGTGAAAGTAAGAATCTGTGAATGGGAGGATGATATGTGTACTGCATTGTACTGCCAGATACTGCAAGTATCTGATGCATGGCGGCGCTTGCGACTTTGAGGGGGAACGGCCTAAAGTCACGCTAGTACTCCTTCCGTGCTGCCAGTGGAAACACAAAAAACCATGCAACAGCCACCACTTGTGCTCCTTTTGCTCGTCGTCGGTACATGACAGCGGCTCGTGAGAACATTTCCGATCATGTCCGGAGTCCTTGAAGTATAGACATGCATCACGCAGAAGAAGGCTGTGCAGACCAATGCTTCAGCTTTTGCTAGCAAGTCCTTCTCAGATGACCTCCGGCTGTGACCTTAGGGCCTGAAAAGCAACCCGCATCGAGATCTGGGATTCGTTTAGTCCGCCTTCATGGTATTCTTGCTGGCACCTCTGAAGTAGTTAGGCACTCCTGTGCGCAATGACCCGAAACGGGGGGCCGTCACAGAGTCGATGGGGAATCGCGTGTTTTGCAGTGATGCAGTCTGCCCAAAATCGAGCCTGCACCCGGGTGTGGAGAGTGAGCTCTTCGATGATAGTTCAACGTGCGACCCGGCCGGAGCTGTGTTTACGGAGACCCTTGAAGAACTGAACGAGATCGACCGCATCTTGCTTCTGTTCTCGAGCAGCCGCAATTTAGCGGGTGTGAGATGGTTGTGTTTGCTGGGAGCCAATCCAGATGCCTGCGACACCAACGGCACCACATGCCTGCATACGGCTTGTCGGAGTGGGTCGCTAGCGGTGATCAAAGAGATACTTCTTCAGAGGAAGCTCTCCATTGATGCGACGGACGCTTCCGGGTGGTCCCCTCTGCACGTCGCTCTTTTCATGGGCCGACGCCACGTCTGTGTCCTGTTGATGCAGAAGGGAGCCGATCCCTTGTTGCGCACTCACAGAGGCCAGATGCCTGTGGAGCTGGTCAGCGACGTTTGGCTGCGTGAAGCCATGCAGAGCTACACCGAGTACCGGGAGCTGCACCTGAAACAGCCTTGGCGGCCACCACTGTCCTTGCAGTCAGGGCTTCGTGACGTGGTCGCCTCTCGTCTTCGCTTCGAGCCATTCTTCGTGCCTCGCACGCCCGTCTTCAAAGATGTTGCCTCGGCGGAGTTGCAAAGACTGGCCCGGAAGATTTTCAATACCCGACCCGGTCAAGGCCTAGCATTTCTGGTGGCCACTGGCTGCACACGAGACTTTCCCGTGGAGCTCAGTATGTTCTTTGCCCAGGCAGGCGTCAACACGGAGCAAGTTGGCCAGTTTTTGGGTGAGGACTTCTCCCTTTCGCAGACACTTCGGCTTGAGTTTGTCAACTCCTTGCGGCTGCTGGGAACTGGCGTGGTGTCTTGTTTGGCCAAGGTGTTTAAGGCTTTCGTAATGCCAACGGAGCTCCTAAAGATAGACCGGCTGGTGGACGGAATCGCGCAGATTTGGTGGCGCCAGCATGAACAGCTGGCGAAGAAGGAGTGCAAGGAGCCAGGGGAGGTGTCCAGGGGCGAGGATGGTGCGGAGGTCCACGGCCTCGAACTGATGCACGTGGCTGGCTCATACGATGTGCTCCACCAGCTGATGTTCTCAGCCGTGCTCCTGCACTGGAATCTTTATGCGCCCCTCCCACGGTCCCAGCGCGTGACGACCGAGCAGTGGCTGCAGATAGGATCCAGCATTCTACCCGACCCGGATGATGACGCGCGGGAGGGAAGAAAGGACAAGCTCTCGGCCATGAAACGGATCCAGAGCTTGATCTACAATGCCCGGGACTCGGCAGGGATGATTCGCGCGCAGAAATCCTCACAATGGGGCAACATGTCAGAGATATTTGCCACCCGCAGGTCATTGCCCACAACTTCTACCCTCAGTTGGAGATGTGGAAAGTCCGGGTACCTCCAGCAGCCCCTGAGGCCCTTTCAAGTTAGGGCCGCACTGTTTGAGAAGCGTAGAAAGTCCCGCTTAATCACGGCCAATCACGGCCATATACCACAGTCTGGACGTCCTTGAGACAGAGCACCCGCAAACCTCAAGCCCGAAACCCTAAACCGCACGAGCGTGAAGCCTAAAGCTGCAGAGAGTGCTTGCCCCTAAACCCTGAACCCTAAAGCCTAAACCGTACACCCCAAACCGCAGTTTACACTTCAGGAGAAGGCTTCTGATGCGCAGCAGGAGGGCTTTGCGCGCCTTGTCGCTGGGGGCTTCCCATCGCTGGCGCTTGCGGGAGCTCACAGGTGCATGGTGGTCTAGGCTTAGGCTGGTTCTAGCTCAGGCAACATGGCAGGGCAAGTCATCCAGACATGGAGATATGGTGCTTTCTCTAAATTATGGCCCTTGTTGGGGTCCCTATTGTATCCCTTTCATTTAGGGCACCCAAAAGGGACCATATTTGGAGAGCTGACCCTTATATCAGCCAAGAGCTTCTGTCGCAGGGTGGTGTCGTATCGGCACATTCGCAGCATCCACAGCGAGAGCACCTCGATGCCGCTCCCGGCCTTGCAAAGTCCAGCCGCAAGCCGAGCAAACAGCCGGGATGAAGGCTTGGAGCGTGTGCAGATGTGTGCAGATCGTTTCAAGATTCATGCTCTGCGGGTTCTCGCATCTTCCATTGGCCTTTCTGGACGAACTGGACGCAGGTCCCTTGCTCATGACATCCAAGTCTGCACCTGCCGGATTCCGCGTGCGGAGTGCGTTCGCGGGCGACGAGGAGACGCCACGAGGCTCGGCCTGCATGCGCCTTCACCTGCGCTGTCGTTCGTGCCCCTCCCTGAACTCAGGCTATCAGGAGTCGCCGATCAGCGTCGACCCTGGTTTCGGAAGCCTGGACAAGGCCCATTGGATGCCGCTGGAATTGCAAAAATAGGCAAAGCTCGCTGGCCGTAGGCATTCCTCGCTTTGTACGAGTCCTTCCTCTTCCTGTCGGCTTCTCCTCGCCCGTGGGCGCCGTGACTTGGCTGCAGAAGCAGAGCAGAGTAAAGCAGAATTTGAAGTTTGTGGCTCCTCCTAGAATATGTAGAAACTCGAGGCGGGGGTGCGCTTTTTGAGGGCAAAACGCGTCTCGCACTTGCTCAGCAAGCTCAGGTATGCCTTCATGCACATCAAAGGCCTGGTTGTGGCAACCTTAGCTTACTTCAGAAGCGCCTTCTTCGAATCATTTGTGGTGCCGCTAAGGTGACTGTTGACACCTTGTCCCTTTTGCTGACACTGCTGCCGGCACCATCGTCGCCAAGCCCGCAGGCAGCCATCGGGGCAAACAAGTGTTTAGGGTTTGGGGTTTGGGGTTTAGGGTTCAAAACTTTGACTGCTGCCGATCCAGCTGGGGTTTTCTGTCTTGTCAATTTGTGGCGCCTGGTGCTTTTGACTTGGCCTTCTGCGTGCATCCTTGAGGCGGAGGTGAAGAGCCCCCTCAACCTCATGTCGCCACCGAGTCCGACAAGCCCTCCCAGGCCTACGGCTTACGGCACAGGAAGGCGAGTGAGTATCACTTCCGCAAGAGAACGCTGCAAGTGGCAACGACTAGGGTTTAGGGTTTAGGGTTTAGGGTTTAGGGTTTAGGGTTTAGGGAGTCTGTTCTGGTAGGCAGCATTATGCCTCAGAGTATTTCCAGGCTGACCGTGGTCTTCCTGCTGCCTGACGGCCGGTGGCAGGTGCTGGAGCTACCCCGGTTCCAGGTGGGGACCCTGTTATTGTCGTTTTCGTGATTCCATAAGTTTTTTATATTAATACTAAAAGCTCATCCCAGATCATGAAAGTTCAAGTTTTTCTGCTGCTTCTTGTGGACTCCGATCGCTGAGCCCCTGAACTCCGACACAAGCCACAAGCGGCCCACATAAAAACTCCGTTCCCGACAGGCAGCAATATGCTTGGGAGGGGCTCGAGTTTGCTTGATCCTTCAAGGGGTGACTGAGATGAGTTCCATGTGCAACTGCTCGTTTCCCCTTGGCTGATGGATCGTGGGCACTTGATGAATGTCTAAGCTTCAAGCCCTGCAGTTGCTAACCCTAAAGCCTAAACCCTAAACCCTAATGACTACTGAACTGAACTGAGGCGAGAACCCTGCACCCAGTCCGACTGATATAGCCAATTTCCCTGCAGAGTGTCCGAGAGGTCAGCTAAGCGGGTGGCAAAACAACCCTAATGAGAACACATGGTTTTGGTTGAAGCAGACGCCAGGTCCAGATGCCGGATGCGCAGCAGTTGGAGCGCTGGCGTGATGCGTTGGCGAAGCACTGCCGCTTGGGAGTGCTTTGTTTAGGGTGTAGGGTTCAGGTTTGCTAGTTGGGATAGTACTGACAGTCCTTAGTAGGGATGATAGTACCCCCCTCTTTTCTAATCCCTATGAAGGACAGTTAGTACAAGGGGGAACATCCCAAGTTGCTAGTGACCATGGTTGAGGCTAGCGAGAGGCTTCTGTACGTCTGCAGACAGCTTCTCCAAACAGACGCAGGGGTTTGGGGTTTAGGGTTTAGGGTTTAGGGTAAGGGTTTAGGGTTTAGGGTTTAGGCTAGGGTTTAGGGTTAAGGCCTGAGCATAAACTAGTGAACCCGCAAACGCATCAATGCTACGCTTGCCAAAGTATACCAAAGTGGATTCTTGGGGTTGCCCCAAACCCTAAACCCTCAACCCTAAACCCTAAACCCCAAACCCTCCTTAGTTACGAGGAAGTCCAAGGCAAAGAGGGCTCCTTCTTAGCGCCTGTCCCATGAGGCTCGGAGTGCATAACTCCAGATGTGCGCTTGATCCAAAAATCTCCGGACTCGCCAGCTGCTGATGCCAAAGAGTGATTGCTCTTTGCTGGTTTAGGGTTTAGGGTTTTGGGTTAAAGGGCATTGCGAAGAAACAGCAGGGTTTAGAGTTTGGCGTTTAGGGTCTAGGATGTAGGGAGCCGTTCTCCTCGCATGTATGATTCGCATACCACTGTGCATGCTAGTCCGCCAGGCAGTTTTCGTGTCAGCCAAAGGGAAGACACGTGGATATTTGTGCAGAAGCCGCATAATTCACCGCAGCATGGCCCCGCTCGGCACATCTCGTCAGGGCGCGCTACCTTTGTTCGAAGGCAAATGTGCTTGCTGGTCGCTGCCAGGTCATACCAGTTTCACCTTCTGCTGCGGCAGCCACATAGTGTTCGCACGAAGTGAGAATCGAAAAAAAATACTTGCACGATGACGTTAAGTCTCTGGGATGTTGTGCGTGCAGCAGCCATGCTGGCACATTGAAACCGAATGCGTCCGGCTTGTTGATCTGTTGATCATTCGAAGAGTTCCGATGCCTGAACTTGTAATCAGCCCTGCCCTATGCCCTACTTGGTAAGACCGCTTCTCGGACGCTGTGTCATGGGTCTGGATTGCATCTCTATTCTTTGCAGCAACAGCGGCATATCACAAGGCGCAGGGGCTCTGATGATAGAACCCTTTGCCACTTTGCTAAGGATGACCCGCTCTGGTTCGGAAAGACGTGGTGCCGGCCTGTTTGTGGAGCTCAGTTTATTGTTTGTGTCGGATGGTTGGGTCGATTTGCGGGTTTCCCGTAGTGTGCCATTGGTTCCATGGAGGACAAGAGTCTGGGTTCAAAAAAGGTTCCCGAGCATCAAGCTTCTGAGCCCGCTCTTGCAACTTGCAGCTGATACGTGAAATCTAAACGTGGCTACAAGCTCCCTGTCCCTGCGAGTGGGTCGGGGGTCCCTGCAGCCATGAGCGTGGAAACGCAGGTGGCGGTGGCCGCGGCCAGTGCGAACGCGGCCAGCGCGAATGCGGTTGCAAGCAATGTGGGCTCCGAAGACCAGGAGGCCCTACACGGATGGCACCTGACAAAGAAGGAGGCAGAGCACATCACGGAGATTGCGGACATGTACAGACATCAGGGGCTCACCCCGTACCCGCCCGAGATCGCACCCTTCAAGCTCGACCAAAGCCACGGTTTTCTCGGAAACTACTTTAGGGCGTCATTCCCCGTGACCCACAGCGACATCCACATGCCAGACTCTCACCACATTGGCTTCCTCTGCAAGGAGGCGAACAGTCTCTCGGTGTCACTGCGGAACTACAAGCTAACACAGATCAATGAGGACCACCCAATGGATCGGCACCTTGCAGCATCCTTGGTGGTGAACGAGTTTCACCACTTCGCCAAGAAGCTTGGGACCCTGATGGAGCCTCATGACAACCTGCTGACAGAGATTACGAATCGTGTGGGCTTGATCGAAACCTTCATCACCAGGTGTAACATTGGGATGCACAAGTACCGGCCCTTTTTGGCCATCATGGTCAAGGTCAAGGACGAGCTTCAGCAGATTCTTAGCATCTGGCCAGCTTTCAGAACTCAGCAGAAGCTCCAAGAGAAGATACGAGCGGTCAAGCTCCACGTGGACGCCGCTCTGCTCCGTTTGTTGGGCTACTGCTTCTACGTCTTGAAGTGCGAGAAGGGCGACTTCGACTTCGACCCTCAGGATTGGCATCCTGCGATCTCAGACAAGGAGAGTGTCCACGACAAGATCATGCACTGGCTCATGCTCCAGGAGAATGTCTTTGACTCGGCCACGAACCACAGCATCGACCGAGAGAAGTGGGTGAAGCAGCTGATGCTGACGGGCCATGAGGGAGACATCTTGCACCAGATGTCGGATGCCTGGACGGACCCCGGAAGCATGAGTGAGCCGGTGCTGATGATCGGTGACATGAAGGGCGACGAGAGCGGCTTGCCCTCCAACGTCTTTGCTGCAGAGACCGACATGAGCCCCGAGAGTCGCCGGGAGGCCATCCAGCTTTGGCTCACGTTGGTCCGAGAGGCCGTAGGCTTCGCCATCGGAGCACAGATGATGGACAAAGCCTACACCCTCAGCTGCTTGGGTGGAGAGTTGCTGATTGCCAAGAAGACCTCCAAGGACTTGGCGCTTCAGACCTTGAAGTTTGTGAGGAACCGCTTGGCCGAGGTCACCAACACCATGACAGCCCTGGATCGAATCATGCTGCCAGTGCTTGCGAAGGGGAAGATGAAGAACTCAGAGAACTACCTCTGGAACAACCAAGCCTTCGTGAACTGGTCGCGGAACTACGAGTATGCAAAGACCCACTGCGCTCCCGGGATCATCACGCATGCCCATGAAGGGCGCCAGACCATCGTGGAGCTGGAGACGGAGATCCAGGACCTGGATGTGGCCCAGGTGGAGAAGAAGGTTGGGGATGTGGGGAGGTCGCTGATCGCGATGTGCAAAAACTCCTGCAACCTCTTCAACGAGCCCCACTCCCTCACCATGGAGGAGCTGCCAGAAATCGAGCTTGACATGGAGCCCAGCAAAGGCACCGCCAAAGCGGAGCCCCCTCGAGCACTCCAGGATTTAAACAAGCAACTTGTGGCTGAGAGTGGCGTGATCGAGTCTGGCGGCTCCTTGCGAAGTGTGGGCTACTTGTCTTCGAGTGGCTGGATTGCAGCCACCGCGTTCGGGGTGGCCGGATCGTCCGGCCCAGAGTTTGCCAAATTCGTCATCAAGGTCACCATGCAGAGGGAGGCCAACGCCGTGCCAGCACAACCCAGAAGGGCAGCGGGCAGCCCCACAAATCCGGCATATTCACCGGCATACTCGCCAGCGTACTCGCCAGCGTATGCTCAAAAGGCTCCAATGTTGCCCTTGCCTGGTGCCCCATTGCCATCCTCCCCACCAGCTGCTTCTGGGCCCGACACAAAAGTCGTGGAGTTCTGGAAGAGGATGCGCTTTGAAGACATCGCCGAGGTCGTGCATCTGAGCAGCCGCGGCGAGCCCGTGCTGAGCGTGGCGGCAAGTGGCCTAAAGTCCGTCCTGGGAATTGACCGCTTTGGGGACTTGATCCAAGACCTCACCGCCGACCCGAAGGCGCAGCGGGCCACGATGAGCGGCGTGGTGAAGATGCCGCACCGGGAGCGCTTGGCTGGGCTGCGGAAGTGCTTGGCGGAGTTGGAGGAAGATCTGGGCCAGAAAGTACCTCCGGGCCATTCTCCGACCCTTACCCGGGAGCTGGCCCTGGGAATGGACATCTCGCAGAAGACGCAGACCCTGAAGTCCACCTCCATCGGCTTCCCAGGCTCCAAGAAGGGTGGCCTGGTGACTTTGGTGACCTTGGAGGTGCAGCTGGAGGTCTCCGGTCGGTGTTGCATCAACTCGACCCTGACCTGGGGAGCTCAGCTCGCCGTCCTCACCCTGCCGTCTCTAAAGGAGTTGGTGGCACGGGTGTGTGCAAGATCGAAGGATGTCAAGAAAGGGATGACAGACAGCGCATCCCAAGAGTTTCAGCAACGCCTCCTCGAGGAGCTTCACGAACTCATTTCTTCTGGCACGGATTTGATGAGGAAGCGGTTCAGCCCGACTCATTACCCCGAAGTCCAACAGTGGCTGCGCCAGGGCTATGAAGTGAAAGACGTGGTAGCCACGCCCATTCAAGGCGACGAGTGCACGATTAGTTAGAGACGAAGCCGAAGCAACAGAAGCAACAGCTTAGTAGCAACTTGTCAACAGCTTAAAAGCGGACCTTGCCCACGCCCCAAAGGAGCGGGCAGAGACCCTTTCTTTGTTTGGTGCCCTGCAGGGCAGTTAGGCGTGGCAACAAAAAGTCCGTGAAGCCTCTTGTCCTTGGCAAGAGGTTTGGTTGGGTTGTAGCATTCAGGACTTCCCCCTAACCTGGAATGTCCACCTTATCAAGGGTCGCTCGAGGAAGAAAGAGATCGAGTACGCGACGGAGTTGGAGAAGTCGAATGGCAACGCCGCCAGCCGTGACGGTGTGCGCTTCTCAGGGGCAGGATTCTCATGAGTAGACCCAGATTCATGTAGAGTCTGCTTGGGGATTTCGGTCCTTGGCAAGGAAAAAACTAAAAATCAGGGTCTTTGGAGGACTCCCATGTCGACAGCCACAGTCTTTGTCAGGCGCCCGCCGTATCAGCCACTGCCTGCATGGTTTCCTCTACTCAGGACTGGAAGAAGGCGAACAGGCTTCGCCACCACACCCTTTGTTCGTTCTCTCTGTACATGTCAACAGCTCGTGCCTCCTAGCAGGGAAGCAAAGCCATAGTGCGCTGACCCATATGGTGACGGTAGCTCCCTGAGCTTAGTTGGAACTTAGTTGGGCTGGGGCCGTTTCTGCCATGCCATTAACATGTAGTGAGTACAGTCAACCTCCTTCATGCTTCCCCACTTCCCCCCTCCCCCCAATCTCTAGATTCTGTTGGAAGTCTCAGGGATCATGCTCGCTGGCCCTTTGGTCTTGACCTGCTAAAGACGTTGCGCTCTTGTGATGCGTTGTGCTTCGCCCTCTATCGCCCTTGCGCCCCGTGCAGGTATTGGAAAAATGCGTTACGGGGCGCAGAGAAGCTGCAGGAGTGTGATTTGAGAAGTTGAGGTGGATAACGCGAACCCAACAAACCATCCTAAAATGTCCTAAAGGTTAGGACGGACGTTGGGTTCTGGGTAGGATCGGGTGCTTTGGTGTGTTGGTTGATGAGCTTATTCGGGCCCTTTGAGATTGAAGACCCAGTGCTTCCGTCTCGGGGAGGACGCTGACACCGAGTTCCGGCTCCACTCAAACATGGCGACGGAACCTTGGGCAGTGGTTGGTTTAGGGTTTCTTCGACAAGTCAGGCCAGATGTTTTGTTTCCAGTGCAGGGTGGTGTTATGCAAGGCAAGCGGGCATGATGCACTGCAGCCCCCCTCAAAAAGGGGACGTGGGAACCGTGACCATCATCTTGGTGGCTTCTTGTCACCTCGATAACACCAAGGGTACGATAGCATGTGCCACAGAACCTGTTGATGGAGAATTAGCGAAGTACTTCTAACAAGAGCCCCAATGCTTCCTTGAGGCTCGGATACACAAAGCTCAAGAAGATCGAGAAAGCCTTGGACCATTGTGACAAGGCTGAGACTCTTCCCGTCTTTTTGCGTCCGGCCAGGGAGGGGGCTGCCAGCAGAAGTGTCATGCACGGCTTGATCAGCTCTGCTGGCTGACACGCCACACACGCACTGCGTATAACACTTTCCAACAGAGCCACCACGAGATTGCGAAGATGATGGGAATGTAGCCTTCTAAACAGAGGCAAATGTGCCTCCAACAAATCGCTGGTCAACAATATCTGAACACAAGTGTGCCTCACGAAGCATCCGACGACGGGCCATGGCGGCAGGTAGGTGTGCCAGGCTACTATGTGCTTAAGAACCCCCCCATACCCCCCCAAGAATGGGAAAATAATGACCCCTTACTACCCTTATAGGGAAGAATATGTTTATTTCTTGGGAGGCTCGTAAGCAAACAGTAGCAGATCCAAGTGGGGCAGAGGGTACGTGATGAACCCTTCCTCCTGGCGGTAAACGTTTTCTAACCACATTCTCCATCAACCACCGCATCACACTGCAAATGTGGATGGTTCCCTATAACTGTAAACCCTGATAGTAACAAACATAAGAATCACAACGCAGATGCTGCTTCTAGAAAAACTAATCATAAGGGCGAAGAGGCCGCATACGTGTCGCCCTGCTGGGCGCAATGAGTGCCGGCTAGGCAGGTGGCCGGTGGCCAACAAACCCTACTTAAACTCCAAACGCAGCAGCGACAATTCGAATCCGGCCACAAACCCAACCCTGTGAGGCAAGTGGAGCAGGCCATCATGTTCGCCCTATTTTCTCCCAAAGCCCTGCGGACCATTGGTGAGGGCAGCGCATCGTAGTGTAGAGGACGTCGTGGCTGAGGGATTTAGAACTCTGAAGCACGACGTAAATCTCTCTCGCTCTCGCTCTCGCTCTCGCTCTCTCTGTCTCTCTCTCTCTCTCTTTCTCTGTCTGTCTGTCTGTCTGTCTGTCTGTCTGTCTGTCTGTCTGTCTGAGGGCCGCCAAGAAAAGCCTCCCAAATCCCGAAGATATCTGGGGCAGGCCTTACGGGAGCGGCTCAAGATTGCAGTGGCGCCCGAGCTCCGCGCCAAGGCGCGGCCATTTCTGGTTTAGGGTTGCTGGTTTTGCTGTTCCATGTTCCGTTCTTGCCCGGCGCCGCGTCTAAACCTTAGACCTTGAGATGTTCCCTTATACTACCAGTCCTTAGTAGGGAGTATAATGGAGGGTACTACAATCCTATTAAGGACTCTTCGTATCAGGGGGAACATCCCAACTGAAACCCCGAGTGCGCGCCTCGCCTTGTCCGAGTGTGAGCTGTCGTGCAAAGATGCCTGAGCCGGGGGGGAACCGGGACCTTTGATTTAAGGGGTACAAGGAGGGACCCCTAGGCGGGACCCTTAACCTTGTTCCCCTAAATAACCCCGACATATACCATACATAGTACCTAAGTAGCCCCTGAATAACCCCAAATAACCCCTAAAACGGTCCCTCCTTTCGTCCCTTGATTCATGCCTCGCCTGGCATATCCCAGCTTGTGTGGATTTAACCCCTAGGCAGGTCGAAACAACAATAGCAAGCAACCATACTAGCAAAAACAGCAAAGAATCACAATAACAATAGTGACAGAAACATGAAATATGAGAATAATAGCAAGCACAACCAGGATGGCGCGGCAGAGAGAGAGAGAGAGAGAGTGAGAGAACGTAGCCATTTTGGCTCAAGCCGCGAGCGGTTCGAGCCTCCACCCCCCTGTGACCGGGAGGACAACAAAGCTGAAAACCCCCAAAAAAAGGCGAGCGCTCCTAACCCCAAAAGCTCGCTCCTTGCAGCCATAGGGGTGAGGGAGTTGCACATTCCAGTGATCGGGTGCCCTACGCGTGGCCGAGCAGAAGGCTGTCGCCGGCGAGATCGGAAAGTACGGAGCCCATCGGCAACCGCGGCTGTTTCCGGCGAGCGGGGGACACTGACTCCAACTACCTCACCGTGATCGGCGAGCCTACACGCCTTGTACCACCGAGAGGTGATTCACCGCTTGCACTTCCCCGCCAGGGAGTTTTTCACCTACCAGTTTGAGCTTTGGCAGGGAGCCCGAGAAGGAGAACCACCTGGAGCGCGAAAGGTCCGGGACCATGGACACAGCCACTACACCGAAAAGAAAACTAGGGGGAGACGCGGGGGAGCTCACCATTGACGCCATCCGTGAAGTTATCAAAGGGGAGCTCAGAGATGATAGAAGAGAGTTCAAATCCGAGTTCATGGGCGAAGTGAAGGCAGAAATCCACCACACCATGGAAAGGGTGGAACAAATCGAGACCAGCGTCACCACCCAATTGTCCGACACGCTCAAGCTGCTGCACAACCTCACCGAAAAGTACTCCACCCATGAAGATTCACTGAAAAGGTTGGGAGATGCACAGGTCCGACAGGAAGCGAGCCTACAATCCATCGCCAACGACAACGCAGCCTTGAACACCCGTATCGCCTTGCTGGAAGGCAAATTTGGGAGGTGGCAAGAGACTGCCAGCCGAGGGAGCGTCTCCTCATCTACCAACCTCTCCACAGAAAGCTCCGACATGGGGAGGAAACCCGCCCTCATCCTGGGAGGATGGCCTGAAGACACCCCTGCAGCGGAAACACTAGAAAAAGCACAGCAGGCGGCGGCCACCTTGCAGTTAGAAGTGAACATGAAGGACGCCTTTGTACCCGGAGTAAGACGGGGATATGCCATCATCCCGCTTCCACAAGAACCACACGACCAGAACGTCCGTGAACAAGTTCGCAGAGCCTTGAAGAAGGTCCGAGATGCACACGTCACCCTGGGGGAGAGGCCCGATGGAACACCTCAACGCATGTGGATGGCAATGTCACAAAGCCCCACCCGCCGGGCGAAAGCACGCCTAGCCGGGAGAGTGAAACGCCTGGCACTTGAACTGGGAGCCAGCTTCACGAGTGTAGAGGCCGAGTTCGCCACGGGGACTATCTGGATTCAAGGGCATCGAGTTTGCTCCACCTCCACACAACCTAAGCCAGGCACCACACCTGCAGGACTTGGGTGGATTGACATTCCCGCCATCTCGCGCCTGATCAACAAAGAAGAGAAAGAAGTGGAGGAACACTGGGGCAGCATCAGGCGAGAGCTTTGACAGCCTGCGAAGAGTCTCACATCTCACCACAAATCCACCCGTCCCGACTTCAAAGTGATAAGTTGGAATGTGGGAGGCCTAACACCGCAACAGGTTCTGGACCTCACCATCACGATCACCGAGATCGAATCTCTAAGAGATACTCGCATCTTGATGATACAGGAGGTGATTTGTGAAGCTGGAATTCATATGGAAGAAAAACCGCCTTGGATCGTCCTTTATGGGAAGTGCATGAACGAATGGAGAGGCACAGCCATAGTTTACAAGCAGTCGCTCGGACCGCACCACCACACACACATCCGTACTGCCGGTATCACCACAACCCTGTTCCTAGGCGAGAACGGACAGTCGACGCTAGGAATCATCTCTGGCCACATCCCCTGGAATGCCACCATCACGCTCACCGAGGAGATCCTCGCTAGCTGGGAGGGAAGCCACGCATGCCGGAATCACTCGTGCATACTAGGCCTCGACGCCAACGAGTCGTTCAAAGAAGGGGATACTGGTCTTTTAGCGCGGAGTGGACGAGGCAACGCAGTCCTAGACTGGGCAACACAACAAAAGTTCAGATGGCCGCCGCAACACACGACTGAGCCCTCGCACTACCCCTACAACCAAGACATGGCCCCCCGACGCCTCGACTACCTGGCCACGAAAGGTGGATACATGTCGGAAGCGTATGTCAGAGAGCTCCGTGATATTGCCAGATCCGACCACGAGCCCATTATAGCGAACATCCCTGCCTTCAAGCGCAAGACCCGCGTCCACAACACATGGGGAGCCCGCACCCTACGAGATCCAGATCAAATTTTGGCAGCCGAAGCGGAGGCACCACGAGGTCACACTCTCCACGAACGCATCAAGAACATCTCTCAGGCCATCACCGTGCCCCTACCCCCCACAGCCTCGTTCCGGGAAAGTGCAACGCTCAAAGACCTACGTGCCAAAGCACATGGCACCCCTCCAGGAGCAGGCCGGAAACAGGCATGGAAAGAGGTCCAGAAAATTCACAAGATGGAACACAGACAATGGGAGAAGAACCTCATCGAAGCCGCCAGCAAGATGGACTGGAAAGCCATGCGAGCCATCGACCACCTCAACAAACCACGCAATTGGGAGTTCCACCTTCTGGACTCACCAAACTGGCAACAGGACCTACGAGACCACTTCGCCGGCATCTTCAACAAATCACCTTCCAGCCAGCCAGACCTTCAACTTGCAGCTATTCGCCACAAAATCCGCTCACGTTGCAAAGTCACCCCGTGGAGACCCTTTGAGATGGCAGAGTTGCAAGAAGTCACGTTGAAATGGGAACCTCGCAAAGCCACCGGGCCAGACGGCATCTCACATGAGGCCATCCGCCACCTGCTCACACATCCGACTTGGTCCGTCACACTCAAGGACCTCTTGGACGACGCCCTATACATGGGGAAATCTCCCTCCAACATTGCGGACGGCGTCACAGTCCTACTACCGAAGAAACTTCAGCCGGAGGAGTGGAGTGAAACACGCCCAATCACCCTCAGCAGCACGCTCCTCAAATGGGCAGCACAGCTTCTCCTCCTCCGGGGAGGGAGCTATCTCACCCGCAACCCATGCCAGTTTGCAGCCCCCCATCGGCAGTCCACTGAGCTGATATATGTCCTACGAAGGGTGGTCAGGATGTCGAAGGACTGGGGCGAGACCGCCTTCATCGTCAAGTTGGACATCCAAAAAGCATTCGACTCAGTGTCTCAGCCCGCGATGGCCGACATAGTCTACCGGAAGATCGCCGTCGAAGCCCAACTCCCCTGGGAAGCCAACCTATGGATTGACATCATCCAAGCCCGTGAACTACACATTGCAGTGGGCGACGCCATCACCATCGTGGCTCAATCCAATGGAGTACGCCAGGGCTCTCCGGACTCACCGGTGTTGTTCGCAGTCCTCGTAGGGGAGGTCCTGGAGGACACGCTACAAGAAGCCGGCCCCCCTCCACAGACACCACCCTCACCGATGCAGGGATGGATGCCTCTGGGGCAACTCACAAGCCCACCTACAACGACTTCTCACCATCCTCGAAGGCAAACTCCGACTCAGAGGCCTCCATATCCACCCGAAGAAGACAGGGATTATAGCCAGTCATCCGGAGGGCACGGGCACACCATTCCGAATCGGCGAGGAAACAGTACTGGCCAAAGATCCGTCTCACATCCTCAACGCCCTCGGCTCCCCCCTCGCCTTTGACAACGGCACAACAGCCTTGGCAGCAGAGATGCACAACAGGGCCAGGAAAACATTCCACCTCCGCAAGAAGGTGTTGTGCGCGGACACCCCCATTCGCCCACGCCTCATTCTCCACAACACCTACGTACGAAGCTCAGCCCTCTGGGCATGTGGGACGTGGCCCCCACAAGAATGCTTGTTGAAACAAGCTAACTCGCTTCAACTCACCCAAACACGCAACATGCTTGGCAAAAAGCGCCTAACGGGGGAGGCTTGGACAGACTGGAACACCAGGACTCTACGCGCAGCTCGAACAACCCTCCATAAGGAGGGGATCACCCGATGGTCCACATTCATCCTGAAGCAAATATGGGGGCTCAACGGTCACATAGCGCGCGGCCCGGTGTGCCTTCAAAACATGCTTCGATGGAAAGGCATCGGCTGGTGGAGACAAGAGCAGCAACGAAAACATGGAGCTCGGCATGCCCACCGTTTCAATCCGCACCTTGATATTGAAAGACACCTAGTGGCGGTGGCAGGTCTCGAATGGATCTCAGCGGCCCATAACCGCACCCAGTGGGAGAGCATGAGCCACACCTTCATTGCAAGACACGACCCACCATGGACAACGGGAAGGCAAACAGCCATCCACAACCTTGCGACCAACAGAACACCCGCCGTGCCCCCCGCGCACGCAATCCAAGATAGGAGAGACAGCAGATGACTACGGGGGAGCACCATACC